CGAAATATTGTAATTCTTTTGTTCGTTATCCTACGGCCCGGTATTCATATATAGTCTATAACCTTCTGCAATCGCCTCACGTAGATGGCCCGAAAACAGGTACTTGCAACCGCGATTACAATACTACGAGCGAACTGTGTGGTCGCTACACATCCACTGGCCGGCGATTAGATTGTGTGCATAGCTGTAATTCACTTCCAGCCTGCTTTGTTTACCAATATGCCAGTTTGAGTTGTCGTGCACTCAACTTCCCCATAGGCGTTATTGCATTATCATCCAGTTCACTGTTTTCATGTAGCTTTGTTTACTATGGTGGATCCTTGGTTTTAGTTCCAGTGTGTCCAGACTAACTTCGGTGGTCTAAGGTTGTTTATTACCAAAGTACTTTGCGATTGTCGAAACGCAATCGTTTGTCGATATGCTCTTTCATGTATACAGCCGTGCCTCTCGTGGTTGACGCTAACATGTTTGCCCAGGGTCCATCTCGACAGAGATTATTATGATTATATTTTGTCCTGTTATGATGATTACTAGTCAGCAACAGCCAACCGAATCTATAATGTGCTGAAAATACACTGTCCAATCTTTCGGCTTGTAACGTATGTGTGGGTGGTCTTCATATAACCGCATTGGATGATCCAGACAGGTCTATTAACACGTGGTGAGATCCTCACGTAACAGGTACTGTGTATACAACTTCCCTTAAACAGCAATCCAGCCTCATACTGAGTTCCGGAGGATTTGTGACGTACGCACTTGCACTTCAAAACTTATCGGTCCCTATTTCAGCATCATTAAGATGGGCTAGACGGCTTAAGTGGTTAGGGCGCTAATTTACTGACCGGAAGGTCTGTGTTTCGAACCTGACCTCTGCCTCTCGACTTCCCCTGTCTAGGCTTGGGCAAACTGGCAGTATCCCAGCCCACGTGGTTCCTTCGGGTGGTATGGCAGTTAGGCACCAAAAGGATGCTACAGCTGAACAAAGATGGATTCCATCGTCAGAAGTGCATGAACCGTTCGTAGCGCAAATTTCTGGATACAAACTATCATCCAATGGGTACGATGTGTGGAATGCTAGTCCGCAACAGGAAATCCTCGAAAGGGTAGTCTTTCTTCCTACCGATCGAGGAACGCCGTTACATATTTTCTAGTTGAGTAGTCTCTGTTTGGATCGGTTTCAATGGATGGTACCGATGTGTAATATTTTACATCACTGTATGATATCGTTTTAAATAATCCAGGATTCACGATCCTCGTGCCATAATTAATGGACCTTGTCACATATCGAACGCTAAAGGCATAGTAAGCTGAAAAATTAAGGAACAAATGCGTCATAAGCACGCGTTTATCGTCTCAGGTTCAATGTTCTGTCAGTACGTTCATCGCCAGGTTTCCCGGTCCATTCAGGCATGCCACCATGAACCTTGGACCTTCTGTACAGACTGACAGAAAGGTGGAGAGGTGGAGGGGTTACTGTGGCATTCAGTTTCAGGAAGCTGGAAATTTTGTTTGGAAACCCAAGTAATGCCGAGGGCAAACATATGCACCGCGAGTAATTATGTATCCACTTCGCGTGGAATTCTGGGAAACAAAAAATTGTTGTTACACTCCGTGTTGGAGAGGATACCTAATCTCCGCAAGGACTTGGGGTAGGTATCGATTTCAAATCAACCCTCAGGGGACCAGGGTGAAGGTTACTACAACTGTATTTACAGGATCATCACGGGATGTTCCGCAAGGTCACACTATAATCTTCGTGAGGTGGTGGGAAGCGCCGGGCTACAGATGCTCGATCTAGGTTGACTGACATTCTGACTAATCAAGACATGCCTTCGTTTAGTCCATAGCCCGCGCGTGACATGCGTCCAGTCGACGTGATGTTCACTTATTGAAAGCTCCTGACCTCCGGACGTTTTCTGAGTGAGGGCATTTTGGGAAGCACAGTTATTGAAGTCTTCTGGTAATATTACACCAGCGTGACTGACCGAATCCCTTTGCGTAATTTCCATCTCTTTCGAGATCGTGACAATCCGGTTGCTGGCATATTTCGTTCAAGCGATTTCTCATGTTATTTATGCTACTCGTTTACTTCAAGTAGGCAATAATTCATGCCACCCCTAAATCAGTGGTAGGCGCGGTCCGCACCAGGTGTCCTTTGCCCAAGTCCATAACATGCCCATTGAATCTTAAGTATATCGGAATTTGTAGCTTTGAAACAAAAATGCGCATTCGCCGCACTCCGTCTGTCAGGGACTACTTAAATTTCGGTGCACCCTGTGTGTGGTCATCCAGCCTTTCCCCTAATTCTCGTTGAAAGTAACTGGCAACAACCTGAGCGGTCGGTTACCCATTAGCGATTTCCGTCTCTTGGATTGTGTAGATTAGATGTTTTTGGGTGTCCGGTTTGACCACAATCGTAGGTTCATAAAGCCGATGTTGTGGGAATGTAAAGATGCCATACCAGCTGGTTTCTGGGGTGGTACGATTGCCCAGTGTCATCCCATTTTTGACCACAGGGAGTCACTGCTCCCGACCAGTAATACCGTAGACTTTGAAGCCGGGTTTTTTAGCCAGCAATTTTCACGAGTGATTATTCATGTAAAAGTAACGTTTCAATCGATTTACGAACAATGTAGACGCGTTTCGTGGGTTTTATGTCACCCGTATCAATTTTCACGAATGATGCTTAGACACGGGTCCAAACAATACCCTACCTTGTTTAGTCGAGGATCAAGGCGATATCCTTTGCCAGTACATAATAGGAGATTACCAGTAAGCTCCGAAGATAGTGGGGTCTATCTCCAGGAAGGTGATTTCAGTGAGTCTCTGTCGCATACAATAATACAGAAAGCCTTTAACATGCTAAAGCAAGCCGCATTTTGATTGACTGTTTATGGATTCAACGGCATATCTAATTCTCTCAGGTGTTAGGACAGACGTATTTTTCATTGGATCATCTGTTTTCCCCCACGCCTTCTATACCTCCAGAGCTTTGTGGAAGTACCATACTTTTGTCACTTTGGGCAACCGCCACTTGATTAACCATTTGGCAGCAAGTCACACAATGTGAATCTGTCCTCATTTAGGATGAGTGGCACCATAAACTGTCCGGATGCAAGCCAGCTACCTGGACTTCCAATCAGTCACACGTAGCCCAAAGGTACGGTCAGCTGGACTTTCAATCAGTCACACGTAGCCCAAAGGTACGGTGATCGTCCAGATAAGTCAAGTCATTAACGTTATGTGATTTACAAAGGCGTAAATAATCGTTCAGCTGTAAGGTCCGATGCATAGCTGCCTTGTTAGCTGAAGCAGGCACGAGAGCTGAGGTCCTACCAGTTTGTCCAAACCCAGACAGAAGCCTTCGAATTGCCAAAGGCGAACATGAACTATGGACCCTCTGATTAGTAGTTTGCACCTTATCCACTGACCTACACTTAGCTTCAGTGCACCCTTTGTTACATGTGGTCTCGTTACTTCCCCAGCATTATTTTTAATGTGATGTGTACTCTGTCCAAACTATCTCTTCACGTATGTGCAACGTCCGCTTCTGTTATCAGGAAGGAACCTTAGTTAAACTTCTAATGAAAAGCAACCAAGGCATCTCAGGGTTTATGGGACGATCTCTTCGGATCACTTCCAACGTCTTCCAATTTGATTACTTTACCGCTAGTGTTTCACTCACATCCAAGCATGTTAACATTTCTCTTTGACCGTCGCCTCCAATGCTTTGCTGTCACTCACTTATTCCTCTTTGGTGACCGAAGCTGCAGCAACCGAAAAGCTGAACTGTAGTCACCGTAAAACGGCAACATGTGTTGCAGTGAACTTCGCGGCATCCTAGTTTTTGACATTAGATACTTTATTTCAACTTAGAACGTTCTAAAGTGAATCTGTCGTCGAAGAAGTAAGTGAGAGAGCAGGCTAACTTTGCGGCTCTAATACTTGGTTACTCTGTTCCAAGGACCATTCGATCATATCAAGCGTCAGCCGGCTAAAGCTCTCCGCAGTGCGACAGCTTGTGAAGAATTTGTTTTTTAAGACTAGAAATCAAAATTTGTCAAAAAGGTACTTGGGTCATGTTCCATACAAGCCCAGCCAGTGTTACCAGAGAAAACTCTGCTTTTCCAGTTCAAATCCCCGCTTTGACAAAATGTTGACCGGAGACAGGTCATAACGGTGCAGAAAGCGAATGCCATTTGTGGGTTGGATGTCTTGTGCAGAGGTCCCAGCTCACCAGTTATTCGTACGATGTGCTATCCGATGAACTGCTTATAGCTGCCACAATGATTTGGACTCTTTTTACGTTTTTTGCAAGAATAAATTCCTTGTTCATATTCGTTCGTGAACTGTCCCTGCCATTTTATAGCTCGACACAATTGTGGATCTAAAGTGTAGCGCCATATCGACTAGCCTTGTAGTGATCATTGTAGCATCTTCATGCCCTTATTGCTGGGATTCAAATCATTTTTCTTATGGCTATAAACCACATAGCACAGCACATCGATCGGAAGATGAGCGGGCTGTCACTCTGCAGTCAAACTATCTAGCTAGAATTCACAATTCATACTGATTCATTCCCGCTGATGACGTCTTCCTCCAACAGTGAACATAGGTTTGTTTACTCCTTTGCTACTGGAAGATAAAGGCACCGTGTTTTTCTACTTAACTTCCTTCAAAGATGTAAAGGTTTTTACAATTCGGTTCTAACCTCCACTTTTTTCGCGTTGTTTACTCGAGCGTCTTTTATTCGGGGTCTAGCTTTCCATAATAACGAATATTGTCTTTATAACTGGAAGTCCTATCCACCCAATTTAAATGGAAGCGTTAGGTATATAGATAATAAATTCCCTAAATATGCTTTATTGAGGCTCATCCGGTAGGAGTGGTTTTTAGAAGGTTGATTAACTATTTTCCTTTTCAAATACCGGTTTGTTGAATAGATTTCGCCTACTGCTATCGAGTCCAACAAATTATGTTTTCATTTATTTCCTGTGTAGCTGAATCAACTACCCAGTCCATCGTTCATGTCAAAGAAGTTGCGCGACTTGAAATTGGGCACGACTGACGGGGTGATCACTGTCAATCAGGACTGTCCACTTCACCGAACTCTTCAGCTCTTCATCGAACATCGGGTATCTGCTCTACCGGTTGTAGACTCAAATGGCCATCTGGTTGATATCTATGCTAAATTCGACGTCATTGTAAGTCGTGTTCTGTTTGACTCGTTTCGCTGCGCGGACATGTTCCGCGAACTATCCTTCTTGTTTGTTTGTGCAACTCACCGCCCCCACCCCCAATAACGACATCTGTGGAGTAGTTACTGAACTCCCTCCACCGACGTAATTGCTGTGTGTTTGTCTGTTCATGAGTATCTCTTCTTCCACGTTACTATTCGCAAAATGTGTCGTGTGCGACGCTATCGCGCTAGATAGCTGTAGCTCTTAAACTACAGGTCTTAAAGCATTGCGAAGCATATTCACTAATCAGTTGCTCAAACTGGAGCTTTTCCGTCGTGTGTTGTAGCCCCAGTGTGAATGACTTCTTCTAGTCAGAAGCATATGGTACGGTTGGTGGGAAAATTATGGATCTTGCTGACCAAGTTCGAGTGCAAACCATACTTAGGATGCTCCACGGGGTGGTGGGCATACCAAACGCGAATGAGTGCAGGTTGGATGTCTCCTCGACATGTACTTTTTTGTAGGGTCGGTAATTTGAAACCCATAGCATTTTCGGCCAAACTGGTTTCTCGTACAGACTGCGATACTAGGAAACTGGCCGACAGCAGCAGATCTGGCTGACGCCTCGCCAAAAGATCACTTTGTGTCCGTCAGTGGTGGCCAGCGCAAACGTGATCGTATTCACTCCAGATAAAGCTTGCTTCTTTGATTCCGGCAGGTTTGATGAAATCCTCACATCTTACACACTTCAGCTCTTGGCTCGAATTCGGTGGTTGTTTATTTAACCGCCTGTACGCATCATCGAAAATTTTCATCTGCTAGGTTGTTTTTTTTTTACGTCCATGTGGTGTAAACGTCCATTCTGGGTGGATGTTTAACACTTATCCTTATAAGTCCTCCGAAGACGCTTCCGGTTCTGGGACAAGAGTCCGATAGCACGTGATGAAACAAATTCTCCCCAGATTGTCGTGTATGCGCAATATACTGGGCGATTTGGGTGGACGATGGGTAAGCTAACCGTATCCTTTCTCCACTGAGCGGCTTCTCTTTCGGGTCAACTTTGAAGGACACTGTGATCAGTACAGCTGGTTGCTTCCACAGTAAAAGTTGAGATTCATGGTTGGGATGCAATGATCGAATCTACTGAAGAGACGATCTCTGAAGAGAAACAGTCTTGCCAAAGGTGGGATGTCGAATATGTTAAGCTGGTTTTCTGCCAAGCTTGAGGAAGAGTCAAGAAAAGAAATGAAGCTCGTGGCGCTCAAGTCATGCAGGACCTCTGAAGACTGTCTACATAGATGACAAAGCCCTGTTTTTGTTGCAACGGTTTACCTCGCAATTGGTTATGAATGCATTCTACCTTTTCGGACTTTTTCTAGCATTCCCAGTGTCTGGACACAGACTTTTTTCGTAAGCATTCTAATAGACACCCTTTCATATTCATAAGAAGGTGTTCCAGCTAAGAGATGGCCGAACTTCCTCATCAATGAACAAATGTGGCTCCTTTTTCTTGATGGAATTGGAATTCAGTTAATTTGTAGGTCTCAGCCCAGGGTGTGACATACCAGGTTAGGCGA